CCCCCCCCCCCCCCCCGCCCCCCTCCATGAATGGTGGTCGACTAGATCATGTTGTGTGGGGTCGATGACCCTCACTCCGCGCAAAAGGGATAATCGCACCACATTGTGTTTGATTGGTCAAGCACCTTCGAGGCAGTTACACAGTGCTTACAACTGCCTCTGGAAGTGAAGCACCAGAAAGAAAATTAAGTCATACGCAGCTGTCATCTTTACGCAAGGAAGTAAGCACAAGGTGCCGAACACCCTTAACAGGATGCAGCGCACCCTTCATGCGTTTCGCAGAATACCTCACGGCGCTTCGCGCATGGAGATGTGAAAGCCTGGTCCGGTGAGAACCCGGCGTGCTCCGTCCCGGCTGTGTAGGGATGCGAGGTCGATGGTCTAACGACTACAGCATGCACGTCTATGAGTACCCCCCCCCCCNCCCCCCCCCCTCAATTCGTATCGCCTGCGTGGCACCACCCCGTGTTTTCGATGGACCGTTTCAGGCCTCAAGACTCTCATCTCCGACGTGCCCGACGCCTTCGGGCCGTCGGTGGCTCAGCGCTTGACCGTGCGTCTGCTAGGCGGCGTCGACCAGGACCAGACGGTGCGCCAGGCCTTCCACAGCAGCAGAGCTGCGGGAACTGAGGGTACCAGATGTGCTAGTCACCAGAACAGAATTGCATGCACCACAGGGAGGTTGACCAGGATGATGGTGCAGTACTTTTAGAAGCGAGACGCTTGACCCTTGACCCTTGCAATATTTTTTAAGGGGATTCCGGGAGCACTCGTGTTCCCTCCCGCCGAGGTCGAGTAACTCTTTCATTTTCGGTCCAACGCCCGTTCTGGAAGTGAGACGTTGTGGTGGTATGGTCCTCAACGTCGTGTCAACTGCTGCGTGCTCCGGACATTACACACAAGGTGGACATCAAGCTCGAGTGCCTCGACAACCTCACGGACTTGGTCAAGAGGTTCGGACGGGAAGTGGAAAGCAAGGTGATGCATGCTGAAATAGATCAATTGCAGATGATGCGGTAGACCCCAAAACATCGGCGATCGTATCGATCCTGGCACTCGGTATGACGAATGGGAAGTTGTCGATGGCCGAGGGGATAAAGAACGACAGCCGTTACGCACAGCGATGTAACGACGTCGACAAGTTTCACAGTAAATTAGTGCATTTGAAGAGATGCAAGGACACTCTGACTGCTGCTTGCAGTGCATCTGGTACTGTATATGCATCGTGCCCGTGGAGTCTTGGGTATCTGGTGCTACGGGTTTGGGTGCTCTTTGGAGATGCTGGCCAGAGCGAGTGTTGAGCAAGGCCGGGCCGGCCTGAGAGAATCCAGCGGTCGTGGGCCTGTCTGCGGCGGGTTTTTTGCCTATTCTTGTTGTTGCTGCATTCCGGAAGATCTTGAGAGACGCCACTGTTACCCCAGCAGCGTTCGTGTTGCAACGCCCACAAGGACGAGTGTTCGGCGCTCTCATCATTTTGACTCATCTTTTTTCCTGATTGCTGGAGTTTGGTGCCAAGAGTCAAAACCCCACGTACAGCAGCACCATGATACAGAATGGTGAATGATCAACCTCCTCTCCCCTGGGTTGCATGCCTTTTGTTTTCTCTCGTGAACCCGGCGAACGGCTTGGGCTCATGAACACCAAACACGGTACGGCATGAACATGGTACGGTATGCGGACTGTCGCGGGCGCGCACGAGCAGCACGAGCGCATCATGACGGTGGTGTTGAAGCAGCTGCCCCACGAGCGCGTGGTCGTGCGGAAGCGGGCGGCCACCTGCTTGGGGTCGGTGGCGGTGGTGGTATCGGAGTCACTGCTCAACCGGCTGGCGGTGCACCTCCTCCAGAAGATCTCGGAGTCTCCCCCACCCGACGTCGTGCGCACACTCATCCAGGTAAAGGAAGAGTAGTCCATGTCTTCGTTGGTTGTGGGCGTGGATGATCTGATACGGCAGGAATGTATTGACCTGAGGCCGACTTCACGCGTGTGGATGTACTTCTACAATGTCACAGATCCATGCAGGTATCCATTTTGTGGCTGATTTTATCCTGGTATCTTCGGCAGCGCGCCATGGCTATCCTTGTGCCTCAACGATCGCTGCCCACCCACCGCCTTCTCCTTGACCGCAACACGGCGGGCTTTCGCTCTGCGCGTGCGCGAAAAACGAACCAATGACGACAGACGATCGGGACCATCAGTCGCACCGTGGGATACCGGCTTGGACGACACCTGGACTCCATCGTGCCGCTATTCTTCCAGTTCTGCGGCGACCCTGAGGACGAGAGCCTGCACACCGAGGCTGCCGACGAGCTGAGGGAGAACTGCTTCCAGGTGATGAGTGCAACGCCAAAGTATGGCGTTCTGGTTGAAGCGAGAAAGGCGGGGGTCGGGTGTGTAGTGCGGGAGAGGGAGTTGGAGAGAGAGGCCGGAAAACGACGGGCGCCCAGGGAGCTAGAGACGGACGGTGGGGAAAGAGGGAGAGGGCGAGGAAATATGATACTTGCAGTAGAAAACAGCAGGAGGGACGTGGATTTTGCTGGAAAGGAAGAGCCCTCGGGGCATGATTCGCATCAACGCCCGGAAACCCCCCCTCTCCCCAAGCCGGCTGTCCTCGGAACTCGTTCATATCGTCGCGGGAAAGATGAAGCAGCCCCTCCTTCCTCTCGTCAGCCGTGAAGAAGCCGCAATTTGAAAATCGTGTGGTCCTGCTGTCCCCGCGGTGCTGCTGTGCCATCCACCCAATCTCATTTTTTTTCTTCTCTTTTTCAACCACTACCTGTGGCGTGTTTTTTCTTCTCCAGGGGTTCGAATCGTTCGTGATGCGGTGCCCTCGCGAGGTCACGCCGCACCTCAGCGGCATCATCAGCGTGTCCCTGCAGTACATCAAGTACGACCCGAACTACAGCTACGGGGACGATGAGGACGGCGATGAAGACGTCGACATGGACGAGGAGTACGAAGAGGTACAGCAGTAGGCCCGTCTGCAGAACACGGACGTTATGGTCCTCCCACCCCATCTCTGACACTCACGCTCCCAGCAGTTTTTTGTTTGTGATCCCATTTTATGTATATCTTTGTCCTGTACATGGAGTTTTTTCTCTGTGTTGGCGTAGTGATGTCCGGGACGTGTGTTTTCATTGTATGTCTCAGGCGTCTTACATGTGGTGGAGATGGTCAGTTTTGATCAGTGAGGGCTGTGTTTTGGCACCGAAACGAGTTAATGGTGTGTACCGATTCGCCTTAATAAATGCTCGTCGCGGTCGTCGTTGTCGGTGGTTGCCAGTGTTGATTGGAATTTGGTCTTGTGCGTCGTCTCCAAAACCTCGTGTTGATTGTGTGTGTCAGTTCGTCTTGAACAACATTTGCCACTGTCGTTGGTGGTGGTGCTTAACATGTGTGTCGATGGTGTGTGCCGCTTCACCTTCAACATCACCTGCCGTTGCCGTTGCCTTTGCCGTTTGCGGCAAGGCAGGAGTTCAGCGACGACGAAGGGGGCGCCTCGGACGACGACGACACCAGCTGGAAGGTCCGCCGCAGCGCCATCAAGGTGCTCAAGGCGGTCATCGAGTGCCGCTCCGAGCTTCCCGACGAGGTGTACAACAGGTGAGAGTGACTGGCAGTACTTCTAACTACATCTTTGTTAAAACAAACAAGTGACTGACAGATACTTTGAAGTACATGATTAGTTAACGCAAACCTGACTGGGAGATACTTCCAAGTCCATAGTTGCAACAAGGGACTGAGGAATGCTTCCATGTGCATAGTTGCAACAAGCGAGTGTGACACTTGGAAGTATAGTCCATGTTTCCAACGATTGAATTCGACAGAGTTTCATTGCTCGATAGCGAGACGACGGGGTTGAGCAGGCGCCCAAACGGAAATAAATTTTCCAAGCGTAGTTAACGACCACTCACAGATAGTTTTTTTGGGGAGAAGAAGGCATGTGTCGATCGGGAAAGGTCGAAAACGTTGTCGATAGTGCAGCAGACAAGCCTCATCTGATTTTTCTGTTGGACAAAGGTTGGGATCCAAGCGAAGAGGCAGTTGTAAGAGGCGCACGGCGCGGTTTTGTGACGCACAGCTTGACCCCCCGGACCGCACGGAACCAAGTTCTAAATAGGCACTCGAACAGTTCGGCAGGCAGCTCAACAAAGCAGGATCACAAAACTACAGAAACCACAAATATTTCCTTTTTCAAGCATGGATTGACCTTTGACCAATTTGTTTTTCACGCGTAGATGGACTGACTGAGTGACTGAGTGACTTGAGTGACCGAGTGACTGACTAGTGGCGTTGTCCTGAAAAGATCGGACAAAAAAACACGAAACCACAAACCTCTCCTTCTTGCCAGCATTGGTTGACCTTTGATCAATATCTTTTTCGCGTCGATGGACGGACTGACTGACTGACGGACTGACTGACTGACTGACTGACTGGCGGACTGACGGACTGACCGACTGGCTAACTGATGAACTGCCTGACTGCGTCAGGTGTCCGGACGAGCTGATCGCGCGGTTCAAGGAGCGCGAAGAGAACGTTCGCACGGATGTCGTGGGGTGCTTCTCCAAGCTCTTGGAGGCGGCGTATTCCGCGGGCGGTTCCGCCGCGCGGGTGAGGGCGGGCGGGGGTGGGGGGAGGAGCGGAGGAGGACGGGGGCGGGGGGGGGGAGGGGACGCGGGCGTTCACCAATACTACCACCCGCACACGCGAGAAACACCGAAGGGGATGGTGAGGGTTTGGGTTAAGGGTTAGGGCTACAGGCGTTAGACCAGCCACATGGAGCAATGGCGCGAGTTTCCCCTGGGCTTGGTGATAGGCCTTCAGTGCTCGTGTTGGGTCCGGGCTTTGTTCGAAGGAAAACACTATAGCGGCATGCAAAATGGAGCGAGCGCCGGCTGTTTTTGGTGTTGGCTGTTTTATGCATTGCGGCTCTGTGAACGAGAGGCACCTGCCGCCGCCGTCGCTGCTGCTACTGCTGTTCACGTTTTTTTTTTTTTTTTGCCGTGGTCGCGCGTGGTGTTCAAAGTTGAAGGTTTGTAAGCGCTGTCGTTGTGCTGGCACTGGCGGGGATGGTTACTTGTTGGTTGCCGTCGCCCCTACTGCTGCTGCTGCTGCTGCAGCTCCTACTCCTGCTGACATGGGTACTATTACCGTCGTGGCGTCTTTAGCCGTTTTTCCTCCGTTTCTTGTTGGTTGTCGCAATGTTTGTTGTCTACTGCACCTTGACGTGTGCCTCTTTTTTTTTTTTTTCGGTTTTGGCTGGATGAACTGGATGCGGGAATTCTTTGGGGCCAACCCCGCCGTCTCAACCGCGCCCGCGTCCGGATCGGCGATAACATACATAACAGGAGGAGCGGCAGAAGGTGGCGCTGACGGCGCTGAAGAGCAAGCTCGGGGCCATAGTGAAGGCCTCCGACAAGCAGCTTAAGGGGAAGAGCCACAAGACCATCGTGGCCATATTCCAGATGCTGCGGACGCTGTGCGTGGTGCTTGGGGGGGGGCTGGACGCCCACATGCCGAACCTCATCGAGAGCACGCACCGCTGCCTCCAGGACAAGAACCAGGCGAGATAGCATGGGAATATGGGAGGAAATGTGGGATGGAGATGGGATGGGATAGGGTGTGATGGAGACGAACATGGGAGGAAGCGAAATTGGGATGGGATAGGGTGGGATAGGATGGGATGGAATGGGATGGAATGGGACGGGAAAAGGATGGCCATGGGATAGGACACGGGTTGATGGGACAAGCGGCGGGGCGTTCGTCTAAGGAGGGCACTGTTTTTCCGACACCTCTTGTTCCTTGAGGCTCAACGGACAACGAGTCCTGATACTGAGATTTTGCGGTGCTGATAATGTTTGTTCTTGTGCTTCGGTGCCGCCTCGTGTTGCTTGTTGCGTGCGCAGAGCCTCAAGCTGGAGGCGCTGCTGTTCCTCCGGCTGAGCATGGAACAGCACCCCCCCTTCGTCTTCCACGCGACGGTGCAAGAGAGCATCAAGCATGTGACCGCGTGCGTGAAGGAGGACTGGTACAAGGTAAGGCGTTAAAGGCGAACATCAAGTGAAGGAGCTTCAAGAAGGGAGGGGGGGTGTAGTCTCATGTAGACTCATGCCGTAGAAGGCATAAACGAAATATCTCGCATCCTTGCTGTACAATGCTGAGGTGGAAAGGTATGCCGGGGTTTCGCAGGCCCAGGCTACAGAACGTGAGCACTAAGACAAGAAGGGTGTGTGTGTTGTCACAATGCATGCCCGACAGTGGAAATTCGCTGTAGACCCCATATCACCCAAAAAGCCTTGACGTAGGGAGAGACAAGTAAATCGGGTACACATGTACATGTACAGCCTTCCCTGACCCTTTTTTTTTTGTTCTAGGGAGCGAGAGTGGAGGAGGGGAGGAGGGGGGGGGACACGTGACAGCTGGTAGAATAAGCAAAGCATTGTCGTCTTTGTTGCACGCGCTTGGTCAAGATTCTGCAAGATGCAGGGAGATATATCTCCATCGAGATCTTGAGGCACTCAAGGCAGGTGGATTGCTAGCTTTTTCATGACACACACACACCGTCCCCCAGCCCCCTGAGCCCACTAGGAAAACGATAACGATACTTTGTTGTCACTCATGCGAGGTCCGATTGTCGTGCGATGTTTTCATCGGCTAAAGAGTTGAAGCACCTTTTCCCTACTCCCTCTTTCTCACGTGTCGTGTTTGTTTAGATCATCGCGGAGGCCCTGAGAGTGGTCGGCAGCATCATCAAGATTGTGCGGCCGCTGTCGGTGGAGACGGACGCGATGGTCGACGACTTCGCCTTCCAGCCCCTGGTGCAGCCCTTGTACGACGCCATCTACCCCAGGCTGTCGGCGCACGACATCGATCAGGTCTGTCTGCCGTTCCTGCTGAGGCGCGGCGGCAGTGGCGGCGGTGACGGTGGTTGGTGTTAGGGGGGGGGGGTCTGGTGATGGTGCTGGTGGTGATTATAGTTGTCAAGAGGTGACTTTGTATGATGGCCGCTACCAACATTTTTATCTGCGGTTGGTAGATACAAGTAGGGGGGTGATAGTAACTCTAGTTGTGGTGGCGGCTTTTCAAGAGACGACTTTGTATGATGTCCGCTAACAAGGGTGCTTGTCGGCGCACCGATCGTCTTCTTTGGGTCAGGCGCGACGTTTTGTTGTGGTGAACGCGGTCGAGTGCGAGCTAAACACGCACGCAGCAGTGGCGCTCGTGGTCGTGACGTTTGTTGGCACTATTACCGAGTGCAGCGCTCGTTGTCTACGCAAGTACTGTTGTGCCCAGCAGGTGGGTGGTTGCCGTTCTTTTTCTTCGAACGGACGTGTCACAACAGTGGTAGGGACGTACATGCAGCTCACTGCTGTTTTTTTGCTCTTCGATCCGATTTCAGGAGATCAAGGAGTGTGCGATCACGTCGATGGGACTGCTGCTGGCGCACCTGTCCTCTGACCTCACCAAGCAGCTGCCAGAGGTATGCATCTTTTGTGTTGTTGTTGTTGTTGTTGTTGTTGTTGTTGGCCGCTCACCCCTCGCGGTCGATGCCAACAGCCAACAAATATTTTTGCCCACAAAAGCTTCAATAGTTCGACGCCCACAAGGGGTTGTCACAAGACTTGTCCTGCAATTGATTCATACGCATGAGCCTTATTTTTTCACCGTTTCTCGACCAAATATGACGCGCGAAACCAACCCCTCCTATCTAAGAACTCGCCTAAAAAAAACTCTTGGGCGGGACAGGTACTGGGCCTGCTGATGGACCGCCTGGGCAACGAGATGACCCGGATGGCCACGCTCAAGGCGCTGGCCGCTGTGTCGGTCAGCCCCCTCAAGGTGGACCTCAAGCCCATCCTGCCCTCCGCCACGCAGGAGCTCGCCCAGTTCCTCCGGCAGCAGTCGAGGCCCCTCAAGCAGACCACGCTCGAGACCCTGCTCGCCTTGATTGGGAGGTGAGAGGGGGGCAGGGAGGTATCGTTGGGGAGGGAAGGTGGGCGGGGGAACGATGGCGCCTCAGGTTTCGCGCAGGTGGCGGCTGGCCAGCTCTGTGTATGTGTGTGTGTGTGCGCGTTTTTGTGTCGTTGCCTTTCCTCGGGGGCAGGGACAGTTTTCCATTGTCCCGTCACTGGTGTACCCGTATATGACACAAGATAACACACCCCCTGGACCAATTTTCAACGCTCGATTACTCCACGACCAAGAGGATGCATAAACGAAACGATGCATTTTTGGAAAGCTCTCGACGAGGCGGTTCCAACGCCGCCGTTTTCGGCGCCCGTGACTCTCTCTGTTGTTGAGAAATCAAGATTTGAATATCGGTCCAGGGGGTGTTTTATCTCGTGTCATATACGGTAACCACTGCAGGAGTTCAAGCCTGGGAATATGGGAGGGGCTGGGGGGG